TAGAGATCTGAATGGTGATAAAAGTCAGCAGATGGAGTGGGAGGAGGGCCCTTTCAGGCAAAGGGAACAGTACAGACAAAGGCTCTGAGGTGAACTAAGAGGCCTGGATGGCTGGGGTGTAGCCGGTAAGTGGGTGAGTGAAAGGAGCAATCAGCAGAGGTCAGATTACTCTAGATCTTGAGGCCATGGTAGGGGATTTGGATTCCTTCCCCCCAACCAAAGCCATCTTGCATCCCAGACATCAGAGCCTGACAAGGCTGAGGACAGACCCGAGGTCTAGGATATCAGGATCAGCCAAGTCAGTAAGTGTCTCTGACCAGATCGTGATAAAGAATGTCTATACTTTGTCCATTCTCCCATCTGTTTTGCTGGCTCTTGGATTTTCTTAATTTATGGTTGGATTCTTTTCTGAGTATCTTAGTCCCTTTGATAAATCCCAACCCAACTCTTCTGAGCTGAAAGGAGAGATTTGTGTCTACAGTTGGGCCTGGGAATTCTAGCTAGAGAGCCTGGTCCTCTGGTGGAGATGGGTATCTCCCCAGACAGCGTGAGAATGAGCAGGTAGATGCTGATGGAGCCCTACAGTCTCATTACTTTATAGTTCCCACATTCATTCAACAAATACTTGCTCAGCATCCAGGATGAGCCTGGGCTCTGTATGGGCATGACGCTACAAAGATCTTCTTCTCCAAGAATCAAGTTAGGTATGAAGGATGGCCCAGTCCAAAGGTTATTGAGTGGGAACTCCCCATGACTTGGGAATTGGTACTATGTCCCACAGGCAAAGCAAACAGGCCCTGTGTAACCTGAATTCTAAATGGAGCCTGCAAGGTTTACTAAAGGGGGCACAAATGGCCCAAATCCCCTGGCTGAAACCTCACTTTCCTCTTCCTTGCCCAAATAGTAATACTGGGGAGGAAGGAGTTCTTTGGTTTTTTTTTTTTTTTTTAATGTTTTTTATTTATTTCTAGGAGAGAGAGAGAGACAGCGTGAGCAGGGGAGGGTCAGAGAGAGAGGGAGTCACAGACTGAAACAAGCTCCAGGCTCTGAGCTGGCAGTCAGCACAGAGCCCGATGCGGGGCTCGAACCCACAAACAGTGAGATCATGACCTAAGGGAAAGTCGGACGCTTAACCGACTAAGCCACCCAGGCGCCCTGAGGAGTTCTTTGGTTTTAATGAGGAATATAGTGTTTACTGTGAAAGGCAAATCTCTTCTCTCCCCCTTTTAATTAGGAGTCCCTTCTGGAGCTTGAGGGGTGACTGCAAGAAGGGGATGCTGGGATGCTGTTCCCCAGTGGGGGTCTACTTGGTAGTGGACTTGCTGACGTCCCCCTGTGCCTATCTGAGCAGGGGAAGACAGGGGTGGAGAGAGGGGTCACCGTAGAGCAGCTGGCCAGAACGTCTTGAGTTTATCTGGGTCAAGTAGAGCCTGCATTAGCCAGCTAAGCTCCCGGTATTCCACTCAAGCAGGGTGACTGCCAAGCAAGAGGGTCCCACCAGAGGCAGAAGCAGGGGTGGTGGGGCAAGGTGGGGAAGCTCAAGCCTCAGCCGGATGCCCCCTGTCAGAGGACTGTGCAATGGAGAAGCCCACAAGAAATATACTCATGTGCCCCATGAAAAACCATTTATAAACACCACTCCAGGTTAGCCAGGGAACCCGGGTCAACCAACAAGGTGGGGGCTATTGTGGGGGGCTAGTCCCATTCCCTCCTCCCAATTTCAACAAGGGAGAGGGTGCTGGGGTGTGTTTCTCAACCAGGCTATGCTCCCCTCCCCCACCCTTTATTCAAACAGGCAGGATCCTGGCTCAAGTCAACCCTTGGATGAGTAAGGGAGAAGACAAAATGAGATTTAAATTGGGTTTGAGAATAAAGCTTTCAAGGATGGAGGTTTAACAACAGAAAGTGATCCAAAAGTAATGCAATCTGCCCAAGATGTCATTAAGGGATGGAAAAGGGAAATTCAACACAGCATGGCTGAAGGTAGAGATTAGGGGGAAAAGCTTCATTATTATGCCCTATCAAGTCGAGTCGCCTCAGTACACTGGTTCCATGAATAAACAGAATAATTGAAATACAGTGTGGTAGGGCTGAAGTCTTGCTTAGGTAAGCAGAGGCAGGATTCTGAGAGGGCTCCGGGAGGTAGGTGGGTGCACATTCCAGGGTGTGTGTTGCAGAGGGCTTGGGGGGGGGCGGGCACCTGAGCTGAGACTTGAAAGATAAGAATGGGTTGATCAGATGTAAGGAGAATGGAGAAGGGCTTTCCGGCGGAGGTGGGGCATAATCTGGAGCAGAAAGTTGAGGGCAGAAGGACAGTTAGAGATACAGCTCAGGGAGCCCATGGCCTTGACGTGAACTTAAGGAGTGAGGGCTCTGGGGAGTTGCTTCAAACCTGAGAGCAACACAATGGGGTTTTCGTATTAGAATCATCTGCTCGCCAGATTCTGGCTACGCTTTGGACTTGACCTCCAGGCCTGCTTCTTACCCACCCATGTGGCCCTGTGACCTCCCCCCTCCCCCAACCTCCTGCAAAGGGCATGTCTAGTCATTCCAAAATCTTCGGTCCCCACTCTTGGAATGTCCCTTGCCCTACCTTTGAACCCTTCATAAATGGTTCCCCTCTTTGACAGGACTCTGAAATATTGTCATCCTCCCCATAAATCATCTCTCTTTCCTCTTCCAGCATATTTTTTCTCAGCCCAGGAGGATTCGATGGCTTCTTTTGGCCTCTCCCCATCAGCACAAGTCTCCTTGGGATATGCACATACTAAAATATCTTCCCTTTATCTTATCTGGTCTTCGCCCCATGGGGCAACCCGAAGGCTACTATTTATTCTTTCACACATTAATTTAAGCTGCTTTAATTGTGGCTCTGATATGTTTTATATAATATAATTAATGTTTTAATTCCATGTACTTGCTTCCCAAGGCAGTTTTGTGAAGGGCCCAATTTTGGAATCAAGCAAATAAAGAATAAGTAATAGCTGAAGTTATAGCAACGCCCTCCCCCCTCCCAAAGGAATTAAAGCTGTGTTTGCTTTGTGAAGTGGGTTAAAAAGGGAAAATATAGTTTAATATAATCTTCATCCCAGGCATGTTTGGGTGGCTTTCGTGAAGTCCTTTGGACTCTGATTTCGAGCATTCCTGGCTTATGGGTGTCTGACCAGCAGCTTGAGATGTGTGGCAGCTACCAGTCAGCTTTGCTACCTCCTGCCCCCACATCCTTCCTGTCGGAGGGTGTGCTGCAGATGAGAAGTTACTGAACCCACTTACTCATGTATTCATTCAGCAGATACGTATTGGTGTCCTAGTACGTGCCCCGGACTGGGATGAAGTCAGCGCTGCCTTCAAGGAGCTCACAGTCCAATGGGGCCAGACAGATGGAGTTCTAGTCCAGAGCGCTGATGCTGCGGGAGCACGGAGGAGGCGCTAAGGGGAGATGGAGCAAATGCCTCTGTCATGGGAAGAGGCATTTGGTTAAGAGGCTTAACCAAAGAAAAGGGAAAATTTAAACTGGTTCCGGGAAGGAGAGGGGAAAGAAGGAAACAGCAAGACACAGTAAGAAGACAAGTTTGTTTGAATGTGGGGAGGAGAGTATGATGGAAGCCAGTGTGCATGGGCGGACATGACAGGGAGTGAGTGTGGGGAGACAGGTGGGGGTAGAGTGGAGAACAGCCTGCTGTGTCAGGGGAAGGAGTTTGGATCATCTTGGGGATGGGGAGCCCAAAGAGGTTTTTCAGGCGGGAAGCATCCTGAGCAGATCAGATCTGGGGTTTGCAAAGAGAATTGCAACAGTATGAACAATGAGAAACGTGGGAGTAGGGGACAGTTAGTTGAGAGTTGCCTGGCTCATAGTCGGGGCTCAAAAGGTACCTAGTGAAGGAGGGAGGCTGTAGGGACAGCCCAGGTGAGAGATGATGAGCCTGGGAATTAGTGGTGGGGGTGACAGAAAGGCGGGTCCCTGAGTAGCAGAAGCCGGGAGGGTGGAGTTAACAGCCTCTTCCTCTCCCATCCTGTCTGCTCTATGCAGCCTGGCCTTTGGGCCTGGCCCAGAAATGCGGAACATGGAGGGTCATTACCCCAACAACCAACTGTCTAGTTCAAGCTTCTCAGGTTCTACTGGGGACCACTGAAGCTCAAGAGACCTCAGCCCCTCAGAAGGAGAGCCTGGGTCGGAATTCAGGTATTCTGTGCTGCTGAGCAGACAGTATTAACACTGGTTGAAGAAAGGCTTGGAGGGCCAGAACCTGGACAGGGTAGGCACAAGGGTGTGTATGCTTCTGCAGAAAAAGAAAAGGGTCTCGAGTCTCCTGAGATTCTCATGGGGTCCTGCGCTCCCACAAAAAGGCTGATGTGCTGCTTTAAATGCCTGTCTCCAGGCGCCAGATGGGAACGGGGTTGGAATAGAACCTGGTGGGGACACATGGATGGGTGGATGGGAAGGCTGAGATGCTGCACCCACACGACGGAATTTCCTTTGAAAGAGAGGGAAACTTTAAGCTGGGAAACTGTTTTCCTTGAAGCCCTCCTCTTCCTCACACCCCAGCTACGGCCTTCCTGTTTTCTGGGATGCGGGAACTTCCTAAGGCCTCTCCATCCGCGGTGGGGACACTTTCGGTTCTGCCTGAATTCCCGGAGGCTGCAGGGGGCTGGGGTGGGGGGAGAACCGTGGGGAGGGTCCCTGCGGCGTCTTCCCAGCACTCAGGGGATCTCTCTTTTCTGCCTTCGCGCTCCGGGAAGACTGCTAGGTCCTTGCCCTCTTCACCTTGGCCTCTGCGTCGCAGGGGCGAGGGGGTGTGCGCTTCCACGGACCACGCGCCCTCCCCTCGCCGAAAGCAAGTCCCGACTCCCCGGGAGAACCGGAGTCGTAGGAATGTTCCGGGGAAATCCCAGCGCGTTGAGCTGTCAGGAGCCCCGCCTCCCGCAACGATGCTGGCCGCCATTGGTCCCCGAAGGCCCCGCCCATTTCCTGGGCGGGGCGGGCAGTGGGCGCGGGCTGGGGGAGTTACTGGCGGCCCAGTGCCCTCGCCCCTACTCCGCCGCTCGGCACCCACCTCGCCATGGTTCTTCTGCGTCTGCGCTGTCTCCTCTGGGGCTGCTTGCTGACCACCGTAAGTTGAGTTTCTGCTCCGACGCGACAGGGCATTTGGGGATTCGAGAGTGGAGAATCGGAAGAAAAACAGTATTTCGGGGAAGGGAACTTTCTAGCTGGTTTTGGGCGACAGAGCACTGGGGAGAAGGTGGGTAAGGTACCCAGGGTCCTGGCTGACTGAGGTCGGCTGCCTCTGTGTCGTCCCAGATTGGGGTCCCAGGTAGCCCACGGAGGGCGCGTAGTGGGGGCGTTGCAGGAAACGTGCACCTGGGGCGTGGATGGGGTTGGGATTTGGGGGGGGGCCTCAAGCCTTACTTTGGTTAAGAGGCTGGAGTCTGGGTTTGCCTTAGACATGAGGGGTTTCAGAGATGAGAAGGGAGGCCGGGCAAGGGAAGGGGCGGGTCTGGCCGGTTTCCTGTCCCTTTAACATTATGGACAGACGCCAGCCTCTGTGAGTGGTTATCATATCCTGGCCCCCTGGGACTGCCTTTTCCCAGGGTACCTTGTGGGAACAAGAGTGGGTGCAGAGGCCCAGGTACTTCTTTGAGAAGGCAAAGGGTTTTTAACATCCCACCCCACCCAGAGCCCCAAATCCTGGGTGATCCGACTTAGGAGGAATACCCAAGGTTGCCTCTCTGCCTCCTGAATTTAAGGTGACATAGAGGACCCCTGGGGGAGATGAATAGGTCATGGGATCCCAGAAGGGCTTGGGAGACCAACAGGGGTTTCTCTGGGCACCAGAAAGTCTCAGTTATGCCCAGCCAAGCATATCTCCGGGATTTTCAGAAGCCCACACTTGACTCACTTTTTGTTCAGATGTATTTTTGTAGTTCCTCATTCTGGAGCCTGGGAATCCCCCCAAGCACTTGCTGCTCTCATCCCAACCTCTCCGGCCTCCCCCTACTTTCAAGGGCTGTAGTTTCTGGCATGAAGTCTGGGCAGGAAAGACCCATGGAGGCGTTCGGGAGGGAGTCGACAGAGAGGGAAGAGAGCCAGTGGGGAAGCTGCTTTGGTTCCAGAACTTTCATTTTCACTCTAAGCAATGGTTCTTAGGGAGAAAGGAAGGGGGGGGGGCAGAGCTAGTGAGTGGAGGAAGAGGGCTTTTGTAGGAAGACTGGAGGAAGAGCCACAGGGGATTCAGGGCGAAGGGTGGTCTGGGCTTCTCGAGAGCACGCTACCAGGTTTGGCTCCAGGTAGAGACTGGGCTGTGACAACAATAGCAGGGACTATTTTTGAGAGCTTCCCTTGTGTCAGGCTCTGAGCAAAATGCTTTACATGCATTCTTGGTCTGATTTATTCAACTCCCCCATTATACAGATGAGAAAACTGAGGCTCAGAGAGAGGAAGTAACTTGCCAACGTTCTCATGGCCAGGTGGAACCTGGATATAAATCTACATCTGCCTGATTCCCAAGCCTGCCTCTCCAAGCCTAGGTCCTGAGCTTCTCTGTCAGCAGGATTAGAGCGGGGGGGGGGGGGGGGCTGGAGACTGACAAACTTTCAGAGAAGGAGCTGCATTTCTCATGGGTTTGAAAATGGCATAAAGGACTTTCGTGTCTCTGGGAGACTAGTGGGAAGTCCACAGGGTTGCAGAAACATTCAGAGGATGTTGTGGTGGAGGCAACACACCTTTATACTTCCTTCTCCATTTGGAGTAAGATGCGCTTCTGTAAATAATTTTCTCACCCAGGCTGAATGAGAGCCACCAATTAGGCAGAGTCCTGGACCCCCAGCCAGTTAGCCAGGGTGTTAGTCATCCAAACAGATAGTCCCATATATATGATAATTCAAACTGCCTTTTAATGAGCCCCTACTATGTTCTAGCTACCGTGCCAGGCCATATACATACATTCATTCTGATTTTCACAATCTGTGGGGCAAGGCATTACTCCCATTTTAGAGACGTGGAAACTGAGGCTAAGAGAAACAAAATAACTGGTAAGTGTTACAAAGCCAAGACTGGAACCTGACACTGTTTGATTCTCAATCCTGTGGTCTTTTCACTGGCTGTTCCCCAAGTGTGGCATGATTTTAGGCAGAACATGGGTACAGGACTAAACAACATAGATTCACTTTACGGTTCTGTTAAAATCCTCATTTTTTTTCCCCAAACAGGAGGTCTGTGGAGCTAGAATATAGTTAAAACCTCTCCAGCACTTGCTAATCCTCCTTTTAAATTAATTAATTATTTATTTTAAAAAATATTTTATTTTCGAGAGAGTGAAAGAGCGAGCACGAGCAGGGGAGAGGGACGGAGGGAGAGACAGTCTTAGGCAGGTCCCACGCTCAGTACCAGTTCCACTCTCAGTGCCGAGCCCCATGTGGTGCTCAATCCTACAACCCTGACCTGAGGCGAAATCAAGAGTCAGTCGCTTGACTGACTGAGGCACCCAGGTACCCTGTTAACCCTCCTTTTTTTTTTTTTTTAATGTTTTATTTATTTCTAGGAGAGAGAGAGAGAGACAGTGTGAGCAGGGGAGGGTCAGAGAGAGAGGGAGTCTCAGACTGAAACAGGCTCCAGGCTCTGAGCTGGCAGTCAGCACAGAGCCCGACGAGGGGCTCGAACCCACGAACTGCGAGATCATGACCCAAGCCGACTAAGCCACCCAGGCGCCCCAACCCTCCTTTTTAAAACAGAAGCCGAGGCCAGCAAGCAAAGCATCCGGCTGGGTTTTAATAACATTGTTTTGATTCTGTTGAATTTATTTTTAGGGTTACCTTTTATTTATGAGAAGTGATACTGGCTCTTCTGTGATGGCAATGATATAAGGTTTACATTTAAAATAAATGCATTTAGGGGCGCCTGGGTGGCTTAGTCGGTTAAGCGTCCGACTTTCCCTTAGGTCATGATCTCGCGGTTCATGGATTCGAGCCCCGCGTCGGGCTCTGTGCTGACTGCCAGCTCAGAGCCTGGAGCCTATTTCAGAGTCTGTGACTCCCTCTCTCTCTGACCCTCCCCTGCTCACGCTGTCTCTCTCTCTCTCTCTCCTAGAAATAAATAAAAATATTAAAAAAAAATAAAATAAATGCATTTAGGGGCACCTGGGTGGCTCAGTTGGTTAGGTGTCTGACTTCCATTCAGGTCACGATCTCACGGTTCGTGATTTGGGGCACCAATTGGTCTCGCTGCTGTCAGCATTGAGCCTGCTTTGGATTCTCTGTCTCCTTCTCTCTGCCCCTCCCCTGCTTGTGCTCTCTGTCTCTCTCTCAAAAATAAATAAACATTAAAAAAATAAAACAAGGGGCACCTGGGTGATTCAGTCAGTGGGGCGTCTGACTTTTGAGTTCAGCTCAGGTCATGATCTCTTGGTTTGTGAGTATGAGCCCTGCATCGGGCTCTGCACTTGGGAGCCGAGCCTGCTTGGGATTCTTTCTCTCTCTCCCTCTCTCTCTACCTCCCTCCACTTATGTACACACACACACACACACACACACACACACACATACACACGCTCTCTCTCTCTCTTTCTCTCAGAAAAGAAATAAAATAAATAAATCACAGTGTTTAAAAAAAGTAAAATAAATGTATTTAAACTAATGGTACCTGGATGGAGTAAAAATAGTGCAGGCAAGATCTAAGCTGACCTAGGGGGAGTATGGAGAGCTGAGTTCCCATTCATATTCATCACTGTGTGACCCTGGGCGGGTGACCCAATCTCCCTGGTCCTTAGGCTTACCGTTTGTAAAGCAAAAAAGTTGGATGTTTTCCTTCCAGCTTCACAGTCCTGGCATTTCACGAGAGAGGGGTTGGATGATCCGATGATGAGGGTTTGGAGAAGGGAAAGGAATGGGGAGCAGAAGAATAGAAGGAACCCGCCAAGTGTTAAATATAGCTCCAGCCAAACTTAGGACCAGCTGCCCAGCCAGCCTCAGGATGCCAGGGGAGTCACTGGAGCCCTCATGTGCTTCTGGGTCTTTGGAAAGAGGAAAGACTCAGGAGTCAAGCCAAAAGGAAGATCTGTTTAGTGCAGAGAATATTGTGATGGTCCAGTGCAATCACTTTGTAAAATGCCAGACCGGTCCTCTGGGTGCTTTCATAATCACATCAGTTGGCAGTTTAGTTAAAAACAAACACACCAAGTAATATACAGGCTCCATTTTCCTGCTTTGGATTTCCACTTCAGTTCTAACCTGTGTGTCTTGGCTCATTTCCACCTTCCTGCCATAGAGGCTGCAGTAGAGATTTCTGGACCCCTCAAACTGCCCAGTTCTGTTTTTAGGTCCACCCGGAGCCACACACCATGTGCAGAGAGAATCAGTACCTGGCCAAAAATCACTGCTGTGACATGTGCCAGCCAGGTGAGCTGCCGACCCTCGGGCCCCACTGTGGGACCCCTCTCGGTTTCCTGGCAGATGCAGACCCCACGTGTCAACTGTAGACTCGAGTCTCAAATGACCCCTGGGATGCTCCCCATCCCTGCCCTGCAGTCAGAATGTTCTGGGTCCGGGGCGCCTGGGTGGCTTAGTCGGTTGGGCGTCTGACTTTCGCTTAGGTCATGATCTCACGGTTCATGGGTTCGAGCCCCATGTCGGGCTTCTGTGCTGACTGCCAGCTCAGAGCCTAGAGCCTGTTTCAGTCTGTGACTCCCTCTCTCTCTGACCCTCCCCTGCTCACGCTGTCTCTCTCTCTCCTAGAAATAAATAAAAATAAAAAAAAAAAAGAATGTTCTGGGTCCCCTCTCTGCCTAGCCAGGACTAGGGCTCCTATCTCTCCCATGTCCCCCACCAGACTATGAGGTCTAGAAGGGCCTGCGACTGTCATCTTTGAATCCCCTGCCCTAAACCCAGCCCGATCTGCTTTTGATAAATGTCTGACTCATTGAGCTGGCCAGACCTGCTTCATTTTCTGATGTTTTCCAGGGAAGAAACTGATGAATGACTGTACAGAGTTCACCGACACAGAATGCCTTCCTTGCAAAAAAGGCGAATTCCTAGACACTTGGAATATAGAGAGACACTGTCACCAGCACAAGTACTGCGACCCCAGTGCGTGGGCTGCTGGGGAAGGGGTGCGTGGGAGTCAGGCTGACAGTCTAGCTTCTTCCCGACGATGCAGCCGTTGCTTTTTTATACTCGGGGTCTGTTCTTGGTTGGAGTCTGGGGTGTGCCAGTTGTTAAATAATCTGATTATTATCCCTACTTGGAAGAGGATCTAATAAAAGCAGGAAGTGTGAGGGGCAGATCCCCTGGGCATGGCTGGTAAGGGGTCCCCATCCTTCCTGCATTCTCTGCTCAGACCTAGGGCTCCAGGTCCAGAGGGAAGGCACATCAGAAACAGACACCACTTGCAGATGCCGTGAAGGTCTACATTGTACCAACAATGCCTGTGAAAGCTGCACCCAGCACACCCTGTGCTCCCCTGGCCTTGGAGTCAAGCAGGTTGGTAAGTGGCCTGTCTGGGAATTGGCTCTGCGGGCTGGAGAGAGGAGCTGAGGCTCAAGGTGAGGGATTGGGCAGTGGGCGCTCAGTCTTGCAGGTGGGGGGACCAACCTGCGTCGGTGTCTCCGCTTGGTGAGCAGGAAACGGAACCTTTCTTGTCCCTCCTCCAGCCATGGGTAGCTACCTTGGTCGGGCGGTGGGAGGGGCTGCGGCAGTCAGGGAGCTCTGTGCTGGGGGATGGCACTTGACACAGACAGTTCTTCCGGCCCTGCCCGTCCACTTGTTTCCTTGAGAGCCGGATGGGTGGTCCACTGTGTTGGTGAATGGAATGCCACCTCCTCCCTTCCAGCCACAGGGGTCTCTGATACCATCTGCGATCCATGCCCCGCTGGCTTCTTCTCCAATGTGTCATCTGCTTCGGAAAAGTGTCATCCTTGGACAAGGTACAAGGACTCATCCCTTGTGTTTGCTGCCCTAGGAGGGGTGTGGGACTACTTCCATTCTATCTGGCCACCTGTCGTTCAGGCCCTGCTTCCCATGTCCACGTGCTTGTGCACCTAGAGAACTTCTAGAGTGGCCTCATAGCTGACCAAAGGGCCACTTTTCAGCTTTTTTTTTTTTTTTTTTTTTTGCCTGCTCTGTCTTGGTAACAGACACTGCTGATCTCTTGATCTTCATGAAACTCCCTTCTTGGGGGCACCAGGACACCTCTCTTGCTTTCCTTACTCCTCCTCTGCTCCTCCTAACTGATTTCCTTGGCCTTTGTTCTAGGCTCTACTCCCCAGTCACTTTGCCTGCCTCCCCTGGGCACCTCATCCGTATCCATGGTTCCCAATCAACATTTCCTGTCTAGATCTGTCTCCTGGGTCCCAGATGGTCGTGTGCCACCACTGAGGGTCCACCTCCATGCAGTTGACCCACAGGCACCAAATGGACTCACTTGCCGGCCCCTGTCACCCTCTGGGAAGACACTCACTCGTATTTGGGCACCTGAACCACGGTCCCTCCCTCGCCTCCAAGCCCAAATCAGTTACCAGGTCCTGTCTATCTAGCTTCCAAATGCTTTGGAATTCCTCCTAACGCTCTCCAGCAGTCCTCACTGTGGTCTGGAAGGTGCCTTCACCTCCTCACCAGCCTCCCTGCCTCTGGTCTCTCCTCTTCAGCTGTGTCCGTATCCTTTTGCCGAAGTGAGTTCTCTACAGTTTACTTCAGATCATGGTGCTCCCTATTTACGGTGCTTCATGGCTCTCTATGCCTTTAGGATGAAATGCAGAGTCCTCCACTTGCTCCCCAGACTTGCAGCTCCATTTCCTGACTTTTCCCCACATGCTACTTGCAATGCCCTCAACAGGCTGTTCGTTCTCTTGCATCAGACTCTCTTGCCTGCAGTACCCTTCAGCACCTGCCCAGTTACTCTGTGCGTTTAATTTTATTTTTAATTTTATTTTTTTATTATTATTTTTATTAAATGTTTTTTTAAATTTATTTTTGAAAGAGAGATAGAGACAGCATGAGCAGGGGAGGGTCAGATAGAGAGGGAGACACAGAATCTAAAGACAGGCTCCAGGCTCTGAGCCGTCAGCACAGAGCCCGACACAGGGCTCGAACCCACGAACCGCGAGATCATGACCTGAGCCGTAGATGGACACTTAACCGACTGAGCCTCCCAGGCGCCCCGTGTTTAATTTAAAAAAAAATGGGTAAGAGAGGCTCATGAAACACAAGGCACGAGAGGGCCTGTAGTGGTGAGTTTCTGTTCCTTGGCCACTCAGTTCTCCTCCCTGGAGGCAGCTCTTTTTCCTGTGTGTCCTTCCAGAGATTCTATGTACAAATAAATAAATGCACACGCACGCAAACACATATTTTCTACACAAATACTAGCATCTCATATATACTTTGTTATTTGTTTCCTGCCTGCCTTGCTCTAGTAGTCTGCAGTTTCCTTCAGAGTACGGATTTGGCCTTTTTTTTTTTTCTTCTAATGATGCATTCCTTATGCCTAGAACAATGTCTGATGCGTAGTAAGTGCTCAATAAATCTTTACCGATAAATGTTGAATGATAACTGGGGGCACCTTGGTTAATAGATAGGAGCCCAGAGTTCCAGCCTCGCTGCAGCTTAGAAAGTATGCGACCCTCCTGGGAGCCTCAGTGCCCTCCCTTGGAGAATGGGAATGACCTTCACCTCCCAGGGCACGAGGAAAAGACACTCTTGTGTACGTGCTTTCTTTGAAGCTTCTCACCTTTCCGCCACTTTCGACGGTTTTTTCTTTGTGACATTCTTTTCTATCCCCACCCTCCAGGGGCCACATCTTCATTGTCCCACATTGAGACTCCTGCACAGGCCTCCTAACTGTCCACTTTTCACAATTCCTCCTCCTGTGAGCTCTCAGGCCAAGCGAGTCGCCTCACTGTTTGGGCACCTGGTTGGGTGCTGATGTGTCTTAGCAGCTGAATCCAGCTGAAACCTTCATGGTTGATGACCAGTGATCTGGTTCTAAAGACCCGATTGTCCATAGTTCCCTGACACCGTTTGGCACGCCCCCCACCTAATCCCTCACATCACATGGTCCTGCTTCAGCTAGAATGTTGCTGCTGCTCTAAGTTTACATCCTTCAGGGCCACCCAGATGGCCGTTCCCTAGGGAAGTCTTTCTGGATGAGTCCGTAGCCCAGATGTTCTCCACTGAGCAATTTTTCTCCCCAGGGGACACCTGGCAATATCTGGAGACATTTTGGTGGTCACAACTGACAAGGGGCTGCTACTGGCAACCAGTGGGTGGACGCCAGGGGTGTCGCGGAGCGTCCTACAGTGCACGGGACAGCCCCACAACAGAGAGTTATACGGCCCCAGGCGTCAGCAGTGCTGAGGCTGAGAAGCCCTGCCTTAAGCTGAACTCATCAGCCCTCTATTCCAGCCATTGTGGGCTTTGTCTCCCCTTCTCTGAACGGTTCCCCATTCACGTTGGCCTGTGTGACAAAGCATGGCACTCAGAGACTCTTCGATGATTCCTCCTCGAAGATGAGCAACAATTTTTCTCTGCCCTCACGACTTCCCCGAGAACAGAGTCTGTGTCATTCCCATAATAACCAGCGTAGGGAATTGCACACCGCACGCGCTCAGTGAACTTGAACTCGTTGGTTTTGATGGTCTCCCTCCGGGGTTGGAAATGTTACGGTTGGGGAAATGTTATGTCTCTCTCTCTCCGTGTGCGTCTGTGTGTGCGCGCGTGCACACACCTGCCTGTGCACAGATGTGAGGCCAAAGGCCTCGTAGAGCTTCAGCCGGGGACCAACAGAACGGATGTCGTCTGCGGTGAGTCTCAGAGATGGCACTCCGGCAGCGGGCCGGGAAGTGGGGAGCTGACGGGGACGCAGGGCCACGCAGAGACAGCTGGTGCGGAAAGAGGCAGGTGAAGTGAGAGGAGGCAGTTTGGGGTTGCCGCGTCCCAGCTTTGCCACTTACCTGGGGAGCCTGGGCGAGTCCCCTCCCCACTCTGGGCTGCAGTTTCTTCATCTGTGAAATGGGATGATAACAGCACCTCCCTTCGTAGGCTGGGTAAGTGCCTGGCATGGGCCTCGGTTTCGATTTTAGAACGGGGAGAGGTTGGCCTACACAGGTCACAGGCTCAAATAGCTGCAGGTCATGTTAATGAGTGAAAGAGTCACCGGCAAGAAAAATACACTCTGTTTTTTCTAAAGACCCACTTTCCTCTCAGCAGGGCTGGGACTGGAGTGAGGTGAGCAAGGCCCTTGCCCTGGACACAGTATTTAAGGGGCAGGCTGAAAATGCAGTAATCAAGATAAATAACACCAGATACATTTAAAAAAAGATCAAAGCTAATGTAAAAAAAAAAAAAAAGTCCAGAAAGAACCAAGTATCAACATTTACATAAAAGCATGACCCAACCCGGCCTCACTTGCCTCGGCCTAATCCCAGCCCTGGCTCCAATAAAACTTTATTTAAAAAACAGACATCTGCCAATGCCTGGCTGGCTCAGTTGGTAGAGCATGTGACCTCTTGATTTCAGGGTCGTGAGCTCAAGCCCCATGTTGGGCATGGAGCCTGCTCAATTAAAAAAAATAAAATAAAATAAAAATAAAAAACAGACAGCCAGCCTGTGGGCCATAACTTGTTGATATGATTTTCCAAAACATGACATTAAAACATTACTTTTCTTGATTCCTGAGTTTTTTTGGTGTCCCCTTAAAGTTTGTTGCAAGGTGAATGCCTGACTTGCTTTTCCCTAGTTCCTGCCATGCATCTTGGTCTTTTTCTTCTCTTTTCATTTTCCTATTTAGGATAGAGACTTCAGTACCAGAAATACTTTACTTTCTCCTCCATTCTTCTATAACAAAGGCAGCAGTGCAGACATCGATGTTGATGGGTGTCGGCATCGGGCATGGAGTAGGGAGGGACGGGGTGTGTGGGGAGCCGGTGGAGACAGCTGTCATCACTCAGTCCTGGTGGCCCACTGTGGCTGGATCTTCCAAGCTTCTAAGAGAAACCAGATATCCTGAGTTTAAATACGCAATCTCCCACTTTAAAGAGCTGGCAAATATTTCGAGAATTTTTTTTCCCCTGGTGTGCTGGTCACACTAAACACATCTGGCCACCTTTTATCGGGGTTTGACTCCTGTGATATAGCTGAGCTCAGACGTTGAAGGATGTGAGAGTCCAGCAAGGTATAGAGCAGCTTCAGGCATGGGGATAGGGGGCCGCCGCAGGTGGGAGGCCGTCACTGAAGTCTTGGTTTCTCCAGGTCTCCAGGACCGGGTAAGAGCCCTGGTGGCGATCCCCATCACAATGGTGATTCTGCTTGCTGTCCTGTTGGTGTCTGCCTATATCAGTGAGTCCCCAGGTGGGGAGGTGACGAGGGAAGGGGGGAGAACTGGCCACCTGTTTCCTGATTGGCTTTGCCAACTCCCCATCCCATTTCTCTCTCTTTCTCTCTCTAGGAAAGGTGACCAAGGGGCCAGGGAATAAGGTATGTCAACCCTGGGAACCGGCTCAGGGTTTTGGTAAATTGGAAAGAAAGACTGACTCATTGTTGCCTCTATGGCAGTGACATGGATTCCGGGTCTGCCCCTGTGGCCAGTGAGGAGGCAGCAGGATTGGCTCCTCTCCCCCCACCCCCTACCCCGGCCCCCAGTGCCGTGCCCAAGGGCTCTTCCCATTCGCTCCCCTGTGCCACCAATGTCTGGCATCTCCGGAGCTCACCTTCCCATGGAGCAGCCCTGGCACCATTCCTAAAATCTGACATTTGCTGTTCTTTTCCCCATTTGATATGTGGGGAACCGCGTCTCCTGGGCCTTGGTCAGTGGTCATGGGGTGGGCGCTGGGAGGGGCTCCTTGGATCCAGTCTCCCACTCTGGAAGTCTCTTGACCCTCTCTGTGTAGCCAGCAGGGGGCAGGAGGCACCCATTGAATCAACACTGACCCTCCCTTTGGGAAAGGGGAGGGGGCTTGTGTGTGGGTGGGTGGGGTCCCCTTCTGAGGGATGGGCTCCTTGGAGGGGTTCCCGGGGGGTGACCTCCCGCCTTGGCTCCGCAGGTCATCCAGCCGGAGGAAGTTAAGTGTCAGGACCCCGTGGAGGACCTGGAGGACATTTCTATTCCCCTCTACTCCATTCCTCCGGTGCAGGAGACCTTACACGGGTGCCAGCCGGTCACCCAGGAGGACGGCAAAGAGAGCCGCATCTCTGTGCAGGAGAGAGTATGAGGCGGGGTGTGCCAGCGAGTGTGGCAGCATGGGAAGACGGGCACGTGCAGGAGAGTGTGGAGCTGCTGGTGCTGCAGAGTGAGGGTGCGGGGCACCCCCGGCCTGCACCCCTGTGGTGCAGACACAGAGCCTTCCACCCCAGCCCTGGAGCCCATTCAGTCTCCTGACTTGCTTTTAAAGGCAGAGGCAAAACTTTGGTGGGGGGGGTGGGGCCCAGAGTAACATCCACCAAATCCTCCAGTGCCCAGAGGCGTATCATGGTGGTTTCCACAAGCCCAGGGACACGTAGCCACGAATATCCATTGCAGTGTTGTTTGTGACAGTGGACAACTGGAAGCCATTTAGCTGGCCAGCAGCAGGGGACTGGCTAAAGGAAATCGTAATATATTTTATACAATATCTCAAAAGCACTGTTGTGGAAAAAAAAAAAAAAGCAAGTTGCAGAATGATGGGTACGAAAACATTTCTTTTAAAAACATCCCCCCCCCAGACGGTATGAGATATCATCTATGGGTATGTGTATACACATAACATATCAGTGTACACGTAGGTATAGCAAGTGTTCAGAACGATACACAGAAGACACACAGCTCTGAGAGTTGTAACGTCTGGGTTGGGGAAGAAGGGCTGGGAAAGGGTTAAAGGAAGATTTGGCTTTTTTTCTCCCCCAAATGGAGAGGGAGTTCATATAATGCTTATGTAATTAAATAGTCATCAAACATGTATCAGGGAAAACGGGGGTGGAAGTGCTAGATGACATGAGCTGTTTCACTTGCTGTCAGGCTCACAGAATTAGGGCACTTTCTGAGGATAATAAGAATGTCCCCAGGCTGCTGTCCTTCCAGGGAAGTTTCTGGAACTTCCCTGTGTGCTCACATTTGGCATTGTGTTTGCAAAGCACTCTCTTCATTTTATTTATGTTCATAAAAAACACAGCCTCGAGGGCAGTCAGGGTTCCACCCCCCCTCCCTCTTGAACAGAGGTGAAAATGGAAGCCCAGAGAGGTGAATTGACTTGCCTGTGGTCACACAGCAATTCTTAGCGGTGCCACTCAGAGTTCCCCACTCTCGGTCCTGTGCTGCTGCTTCCAGATCTTCCTGCTCTCTGGAACCTACGTCTGTAGCTCCTTCCTGGGTTGCTCCTGGGCCTCCCACTTCTTTCTGACCTCCCAACTGCTATGGGAGCTGCTGCTTCTTGGTCAGATGGTGCCCCCTTCCTCCCCAACCCCCCCCCCCCCAGCAGTATCTGAGGATAAAAATAAGCCATCCTGTTCTCTTTTCCTGCTGTGCCAACTGAGGGGGAGCCTAGCCAGGAGGAGCAGCAGATGGAGTGGGAGCAGAGGGGAGGGGAGGGGAGGAAGGTTGGAGGACAAGGAGAGGGAAGAGCCATGCGAAGTCCCTGCACAAAGATTCCTGGCGAGAATGACACCGAGCTGGTTTAACCCAGGGATCGCAACCTTTCCCCCAACAAAAGCTGCTTTGGATTTCCCCAGTGTGTCCTGCGGGCTGGAAGGGGGGGTGGGCAGATAGGGCTTGTCCTGGACGGAGACTGTGAGGGCAGCTGCAAGCCAAGCGAGGGGCACCTGGCTGGGCAGCCTTCCCAGAAGAGCTTTGAGAACAATTTAGATGCACCAGGTGGAGCCGTTTGGTTTGGAAAGCGGAACAAAGTGCTGGTGTCGTGGGATGGGGGGAGGGGAGCTTTGGGACCTCACCCTTATTCTCTACCTAGAGTCTGAGGACCAGTGTCACTCACTTCTGTGCATGGCAGTATGGTGGCGAGAGGCAAGAGACCCTCCTCTTTCACCTCCTGTCTATGTGACCTTGGGCGTGTCATTTCCGTCTCTGACCAGCTCAGTTCCCTTAACTGGCAAATGGAGATCATAGATAGATGGTGTTGAGTCTTCTTCGTTTTCTCTTGGGTCAGAGGTTTTCAATCTTGAACATGTGTCAGAACCACCTTATCAAAACAAGACTTATTAAAAGATTCCTGGGCCCCACTCCGCCCAGAGTAAGTCCGGGATGGAGCTCAGGAATGTGCGTTTCTAACAAGTTCCCTAGGTGATGCTGCTGCTGCTGGTCCAGGAACCACACTGTGAGAACTACCACCCTCCCTCGGCTCCCGATTTCCAGATGAGCATGGGTTTCCTATTACAAGCACTGGAGATGGATTGCCTTGGGGCTTCCCCTGGTATTTGGTGCAGGTGTGCGGTGGGTCAGATCTACGCAGGGGAGTTAATGACCCAGAATACTCTCCACTAAAAAGGAATGAAAGGTGGAGGGTAGATGCCCCAGCCTCCTTGCCCTTGGGAGGGACAAGTCTGAAGGCCGGTGTAGGTTCCCTAGCCGGCCCCCGGTGCCCCTCTTCCATTGGCTCCCTTCCCTCCCCTGTCTCACTTCCCCACTCCTCCACTGGTGCTTCTTGAGTTCCAACCCCCGAATAAACTACCTGCATTCCTTCCTTGCCGCAGAGTCTGTTTCTGGAAGAGGTTCCCCCTAAGAGCCAGCAGAACTCCTGCTCGAGAAGGTATAATTTTGTGTATCTTAGTGTCCCTGACAAAGGGAAGGGGTTCTTGGCAGCTGTATCGAGTTCCGGGTTCTAAATGGAGCTCAGCCAGAAACTTTCTGTGTGACCTTGGGAAAGCTACTCTCTGCTTCTGGAAATGTTCCCTCCCGATGTGTGGTGAAGGGCTGGGGCCCTAGGAGTTCTGAGGGTCCCACCAGTTCTAAAAATACATGAAGAAGGTCAACCCGCGGTAGGAGCCGCTCTGGCCTGTGCTTGGAGGAGGGTGGGTGTGAGGCACGTATCAGCCAGAAGGTGGCGCCAAAGTAACGCGCGAAGACCCCGGCGGCCGGTTTTTGCGGACTTTTCAAGCTGCATCCCAGCCTCACTTTGGAGAAGAGAGGCCTTTCCTCTCTTACGGCCCCATAGGCCTGAGCCTCCTGCAACCTGTATTCTGCAACTTCATCCGTTGCCCAGTGGAGGCCTCCCTCTCCACTGCTTCCTCCACTTAACGAGCATTAACTGCATTCTCACTGTAGGCCCCAGCTAGGGTTGTGCTCAGTGACCCTAAGAGCGTGCATGGATGGAGTGCTCACTATGTACACATAGGCACAACACTAAGAGCGTTCGATGCATCGTCTTAGTATGTAAGGCGACCCTACATAACGCACAGCCTCATACCCCATTTTACAGATGAGGCTCAGAGGCAAAATGACATGCTAAGGTCTGAGGAGTTAGAGTTAGAGCTGGGATTTGGGCTTAACTAGGCTGACCCAAAGCCTGTGGGTTTTGATCCTGTACAGCGGCTGTAGAGTGAGGCAGGATCAGGACGGCAGAGACTATGGCAAAGTGGGGAGGCTCTGCCTATCTTTGGGGGACGGCATCGATCAGTCCTTTCCAATGTTGCCCTGTAGGAAGGGGAGGCGTATATCGCGGAGAACCCAGATTTCCATGTGAATCCTCCCAATGTTGAAATGCTACCAATTCCAAGTATTGAGGACCCAAGAAAGCATGTCACAGAGGATCAGAATTTAAAACAGACTGGGAATGACATCGTGCCTGATCCTTTTATTTCATATATATGGAAACTGAGGCCCTGGGAAGGTCCAGAACCGAGTCAGGCCAAGTGTTATCGGCAGCCAGGGAGCTCCTGGGGGCTCAGGCTCCGCCAGCATCTAAGGTATTGAAGCTCTAGGACCGAGGGAATTGCCTTGGGACTGGGGCTGAGCTGGGTGTGTGTGTCCTTTTAATTCTGTGATACACCCCGCCTGGCAGCACTGCACCCCCCCACCTCCAGTCCCCCCCCCCTCCCCAGCAGGCAAGCACACACCCTCCCCTTCAGCCTTCGGGGCCCGTGGTGGATTCCTTGGGCAGGAGAAGTTATTAAAGACTCTGCCCCAAAGGATTTCTCTCCCCCAGAGTGATTCTGACACAGAAAATTACAAACCCACCTGCAGGGCTGGGGAGATACAGTTTTAATTTGTAAAAAAAAAAAAAAGGAAAAGAACCCCCCTCCGCAACGCTGTTGTCTTGGAGGCTGGGGGCCTGGGGACCTCGAGGAGGCTCCTCTGAGACCCTTGGCACCATTAAGGGAGAGGGGCTCTGGGAGGGGTCCCGCGGGGGTCAGGGAGCAGATTCTGCCCAGACAGATGGGGCCACTAGGAGGCGAATCGCACGTCCCTTCCTACCCCCCCTTTCTGTCCCTGGGGCTCTCTGCCTCTCTCCCTGCAGACTGGCTCGTCTCGCTGGGCTTACGCACCCAGCTACTTCCAGCCTCTGGCTCCCTCCAGGGCTCTGCCCACCCTGCCAGCAGTTGCTGCCCATCCCTCCACCCCCCCTCCGCGGTCTGCCTCCTCCCTGCCCACCCACCTCCTTCCTTCTCCTGGCAATTCCATCTCCCCTCGTTCTCTTTCAAACAAGTGTTGTTTTGGCTAATTATGACAATCATACCTGCACATTGCACCGCCCCCATCTAAGCAATAAACAGGGAAATAAGACCACCTGTGAGCCTCGCCACCACCCCCACCAACCACAAGTTACAGGTCCTTCCAGACTCGTTTTCTGTGCCAAAAATATCTCTTTAACCTGGGCTATTATTACCTACACTGTGTTGTAAGCGGCCTTCTTTGCCTAGCGGTATACAGTGGGCGTCTCTCCATGCCGATAAATATAGATCGGCAACGTGCTTTTTAAGTGCTGCATAGGATTCCATGCAGGGATGAGCCCGATTCACCTAAGGAGTCCATAATGGATGGACTTTTACTTACGTGGCTTCTCTCTTTCCTTTTCCTCTTGAGCCCCTACCTGTTTCCCCCTTTGCCTCCCCTCTTTCTGTCCACCCCTCCTCTCCCGTCTTCACCTCCAGGGTCCCACTCTCCTTTCTCTTCTCCTGCCCCCCATTCCCTCCAAGCCCTCACCTGGTGGAGGGGCGGGGGGGGATCGGCTGTGTTTAATACCTGCTCCCCCATGTCAGACTTGCGCTGGCTCATTAGTGCGCCTGTCCCCCCAAGTGCGGCAGGCAGGAGCCACAGTGGCAGCGGAGAGGCCTAATTGAATGTAACTAATTATTCACTCCCTTAAATGGACCTGGGAGGGACAGAATTACTCACTCTGAACTGGGGAGACAGGGAACTGGCCGGCTGGCAAACAAATCCCGCGGCCTGTGGAGCCAGCTCTCCGTGGAATACTAATTAGGCAGGAGCGACGGGTACAGGGAAACAGAGAGCCTCTGGTGTCCCCCTTCCCCCAGAAACTGAGGCAGAGCTTGTGTGATTACAACCCTGGACCTCAGGGAAGGGTTAATGTGAGGAGGGGGCTGGAGGCAGGCAGGGGGGCTAATGCTAAGAAGAGTGCTGGCGCGGGGCGGGGGGGGGGGAGATGCAGGGGACAGGCTGTGCTGGGGCTGGGTGGTAGGGTGGTGAGACATCTCAGTCCCACCC